AACACCGAGCTGCCTAGCTTGGGGGCACTAGACACTTCAGCCTCATTTTCTATCCAGTGTCCCAGGCTGCAGAGAACAGAAGGAATCAAACACTCAAGAGAAAAGCAGGAGAGAGAGACCCTGTAGCCTTAAAAGAGGATGAGAGAAAACGTCTTTCCTGTTTTCCTGTCCTGTTCCTGATGGTCTTCCTACCCATTAGTTCTTCCTTGAGATACCCTTAATAACTATCATCGTCATCGTCATCATCATCATCATCATCATAGCTAAGGATAACCTAGCGCTCACTATGCCAAGCACTGTTCTAAGTGCTCTATGTATACTAACTTTAATCCTCACATGATCTATGGGGTTGATACCTCTATTAATCATTGTCCCCATTTCACAGATGAAGAAACTGAGCCCTGAAAGGTCAAGTAACATTTCCAAGTTCACACATGTAGTTGGATAACCCAGTCAGTGCTCTTATGAGCTCTTTTGCCAACACTTTTGTTATATACCCTTAGGTCCTGCCAATAAAGGACCCCTGTTTTTGTTAAGGTCTTAAGGGTTATAGATTTTGGAGAGAAAGGCCATAGAGGTAAAGTGCCATTTTCATGACATCATATCTGGGGTACATAGTATCAACACGGTTTGTCATTGTTGATGTTGACCATGACCCCTTAGCTGAGGCAGCCTGTCAGGTTTCTCCACTGTGAAGTTACTCTCTCCCTCCCCCTCACTTTTCCATTTCTGTATATGGTATCTTTTGAAAAGAAGTTCTTAATTTTTTGCCCAGCTGGCGTGGCTCAGTGGTTGAGCATCGACCTATGAACCAGGAGGTCAAGGTTCGATTCCCGGTCAGGGCACATGCCTGGGTTTCGGGCTCGATTCCCCCAGAAGGGGGAGTGCAGGAGGCAGTCAATCAGTGACTCTCTCATCATTGATGTTTCTATCTCTCTCTCTCCCTCTCCCTTCCTCTCTCTGAAATCAATAAACACATTAAAAAAAATTTTTTTTTAAAAGAGCCAAGAGTTTGTTTTTGTATTCTGGCCCTTCTGAGAGTCCTCCCCTCAGGGCAATGGATGGCTGGAGTCTTGGCTCTTGGGCCTGGGAGGAGGGGTGTGACGAGGCCAGAGGCTTCTTTTAGGCAAGCATATGTGTCATCCCTTCAAATAGTATCCTGCCACTCACATATCCACTTCTAAACGCTTCAAAGGAAAAGTTAGCCACACATCACCAGTTTACTGAGCGCTAAAGATTCAATCCAAAGAGCTGCATTCATAAAGCAGAACTAATGATGATTCAGAATGGGACTTTGAGTACATATGCCCTCCCCCAGGGTTTAAGCTCAATCTGTGAAACAAGAAGGCTTCCTACTTCTTAGAGTTTATCTTACTGGAGTCAAAGGCTGTAAGCGGCAGCATTGCCCCTTTAAGACCTCAGAGGAAAGGGGGCCTTCGATTTAAAGGCTAAGCGATTCGCCCTTAGCTCAGAAAGGGATATTATTTCTCAAGATGAAAACAGAGTATGAAAGATTGTGAGGTTTTGAAGTTTTCTTGGGGAAGGGGGAAGAGGAGGGATTTATTTTATTCCGGTATTTTTACAGTATTTTTGGTCTTCTTCACATGAAAAGACATAAGGATGTTCTAGAACTCTTTCGAGAAGAGAGAAATTCACTCCTTTCCCTGTTTCTTTAGGCTGGATGAAAGTGCAGGAGCTCTGCTCCACTTTTAGCTGATTATGCCCCTAAATAAGGTTGATTTAAACAAGCTCTTTCAGGTCCTTTGGTCTAGAACCTGTTCTAGGATATGCAGCAAGATGGACAAAGAATGAATTTTTAGTTGATGTGAAGAACAATGACTCCATCATGCTAAGAAATGACTTTTTAAAAAATGATTAAATTTTATTGATTTTTTTCCCAAGGCAGTCATTTTAGAGTTGTTTGGAAATGAGCTGCTTTAAACATTTTTGGTAATCCAATCATTTCACATTTCTAATAGGAAAATATTCCTTCAGCCCTTTCAGATTTCTTTAAAGTCACATTTGTGCCAATTGTCCTCTGAAAGAATGCAAATTTGAGAGTCAAGAGTTTCCTGAAGTTGAGTGAGAAAACCCAGATTTCATTCCCTAAACTGAGAGTGGCTTTGGTGAGCACAGTGCAGTCCAGAATGTTCAAATGCATGTTTGGGGAGCGTTCTTCTGATTCCAGTTTTCAGTCGGGCAAGTTTTTCCTAGGATAGGTCTGCTACCCTAGCAACTCCTGGGGTCAGTTTTCAACCCACTTTTCTTTTTTCTCCTGAAAATGGATACTGGGAACTGAGTTAACAGGGCATTCTTTCCCCAACAAGTCTGTCTCACATTTGTGCACTGAACAATGCTCAAACACCTTCAATGGCTCCCACTTCCTACCAAATGAAGTGTAGTTCTTTTAGGTAAAAGTCAACATCCTTAATAAATATGTTCCTGACTGACATTTTCAGCTTTATGTGCTCCCTCCCCCATCTCTTCTTTGATTAAACTGAACAGTTATGCTCAACCTGACAAGGCTTTCTCCCTTGCACAACTTAGTTTTTGCTACCTGGAAGAACCTCCCCATCACCTATCCTTGCATATTGAAACCGCATCCATCTTTCAAGGTCATCAGCTGGGGAATCATTTTCTAACTACAGATGCTACATTGTGTCACTTCTTTCCTCATATCATGGGCAACAATTATGAGCTGTGGGAAGGGAGGATCCTGGTTTAATTACTATGTCTAGCCCTCACATAACACTGAGTGAATCAAGAAAGTAAATGTTCCTGTCACAGCACTTTTGGTGGATCAGGAAGTGGGGGTCTTAGGAGGTAGGGTTACCAGATTTAGCAAATCAAAACACTGGACGCCCAGGTAGATTTGAATTCTAAACAAACAATGAATTTTATTTGATTTTATTTTTTAGTATAACTACGTCTCACGAAATATTCACGGCATACTTATATTAAAAATTATTCGTCGTGACCTACTTGGAGGACAGGGGTTCCCAGGGGCTCCTAGCTTCCTCCCAGCTGGTGCTCAGCATCGGTGCAAGGGTTAGAGCGAAACCCAAACCAGCCACGCAGCTTCCGCGGCTACATCCGTGGCAGGGCGGAGCCACGCGACGGGGACAGGCGGACGCTCCGCTTGGGAACTGTCACTTGAGATTGGCCAGAGGGTCCACACCGGGAGGAAGCCTCACCCCGTGGGCTCTCTGGACCGCTCGACAGGACCTGCGTTGTCCCTA